TCCCTGGAGGCAGGCCCTTCTCGCCTGTCTTCTTCACCACCACATGGCCAGCAGCACCCAGATAGAGCACCTGGCACAAATCCAACGCATCTGTTAGATGAATGAATGACTCCATGAGGCAGAGGGAGGATGAGGAAGGGGCAAGGGGTAAGGCAGGAAAGATGGAGGAGAGGTTGGGGTGAGAGGGCCAGGCTGCACGGGGGAGGGAGCAAGGAGAGGCCCCAGCCAGGGAGACAGATGGACTGAGGCAGAGGGTGGGGGAAGGGGCATGGGGGGAGGCTGCTGCCTCCGATCAAACGATGATGCTTGCACCCCTGAGGAGCACGGGGAGCCTGTGTGTGTCAGTGCTGGGGCACGCATGTGTTTACACACACACACTCACACGCATGCACACTCTCTCCCTCTGACTTTTCTGTCACCCAATTCCAGTCTCTTGCCGCCTCTGTGTTTTTGTCACCATCTCACCATCTGTCTCTCTGGTCACTGACTTGCTGGCTCTCACTGTCACTCTCCTCCTTACGTTTCTGTATCTGTCCTTGCCGTCGCTCCGCATCGACATACACACGAGGCCCATGTCGAGGCCCGTGGTGGCTCCGGCGTGGAAGACCTGGACTTAGGGAGCCCCTGAGGAGGTCAGGCTACAGCTGGAGGCTTGGATCTGATATGCGCAACCCCCAGGCGCTTCTGGAAGGGGTTCAGGGGCACCGCACTCTCTCCTTCAATCCCCCTCAAGTGCTCAAGGAGCCGTGTGCTATAGAGCAGAGTGCCTGGGTTTGAGTCATCCCATCAGCTGTGTGATCTTCGGCAAGTTACCCAATCTCTCTGCACCTCCACCTCCTCATCCGTCCAATGAGAGTAAGAATATGACCTCATGGAGTGGTCGTGAGAATTAAACAAGAAATGCAGGCTGGGTGCGGTGGCTCACACCTGTCGTCCCAGAGCTTTGGGAGGCCAGGGAGGGAGGAACTCTTGAGACCAGGAGTTTGAGACCAGCCTGGGCAATATAGTGAGACCCCATCTCTCCAAAAAAAAAAAAAAAGGGAAAAAGAAATGCAAAGCACTTGTAATAGCCCCCAACTCATGGTAATCAGCATATATGTGTTACATGTGTGTGAACTGTTATCCTCCTCGATTTGCACATGAGGAAACTGAGGCTTGAATCGTTCACCTGTAACCTGAGGCCACCAACAAGTAGACTGGGGCACATTTGATCATCTTTTCCTAGGTAGTCTGGTTTGCCCACAGCCTGCTTTCTTTTTGACTGGCCTAAGTTCTTCCAGAAATGGATGCTGTGCTCATTACTAAATATGCATCACTCAGAGCAGGGAGGGCCCCTCAAAGCAGGGGAGGTACTTGCACCAGCCTGCTCATTTCAGCGACGAGGGAACTGGGGCCCAGGGAGGAGTCGAGGTTTGCCTGGGGTCACACAGCAAGACAGACGGAGGCTGGGAGGCCTGGCCTCCTGTCCAAGCTCTTCCTGCGGCCCTGGGCCCCTCCTACTGATTTTCCATCCTGGCCGCAGGAATTCAGCAATCCTGAGGACATGGCAGAGTGGGCTCTTTGTGACCAGGAGGGACTGCCATCTGTCAGCAGGACAGAAGGGAGAGAGCCTGACATTTAGTGCCAGACAGTCCTGGGTTCAGGTCCTACCTCTGGCCTTATTTGCTGTGAAGCCTTAGGCAGGTCAAGCAACCTCTCTGAGCCTGTTTCCTTGTCTGTAACACGGGATCGGCCAGGGGTAGGCGTTGTTACCATTCAGCAAATGCAGAGACTGAGGCTCAGGGGTAGAGCCAAATGGTCTTCTAACAGCTGACCTGGGGCAAGTTCCTTTTTTTTTTTTTAAGAGACGGGGTCTCGCTCTGTCACCCAGGCTGGAGTGCAGTGGTAGTGGCACAATCACGGCTCACTGCAGTCTCTCAACCTTCTAAGCTCCAGGGATCCTCCTACTTCAGCCTCCCAAGTAGCTGGGACTACAGATGCCCACCACCATGCCCAGCTAATTTTTGTATTTTTTGTGGAGACATGGTCTTGCTATGTTGCCCAGGCTGGTCTTGAACTCCTGGGTTCAAGCGATGCTCCCACCAGAGCCTCCTAAAGTACTAGGATTACAGGCGTGAGCCACTACAACTGGCCTGAGTTATTTAGCTCTATGCCTCAGTTTCCCCATCTATAAACGGGGGCTATAATAATACTTCCTAGGGGCCGGGCACGGTGGCTCACGCCTGTAATCCCAACACTGGGAGGCTGAGGCGGGCAGATCACAAGGTCAGGAGATCAAGACCAACCTGGCCAACACGGTGAAACCCTGTCTCTACTAAAAATACAAAAAATTAGCCGGGCATGGTGGCGGGTGCCTGTAATCCCAGCTACTCGGGAGGCTGAGGCCGGAGAATGGCGTGAACCCAGGAGGCGGAGCTTGCAGTGAGCTGAGATTGCGCCACCGCACTCCAGCCTGGGCGACAGAGCAAGACTCTGTCTCAAAAATAATAATAATAATAATAATAATAATACCTCCGAGGGAGCTGTTGTAAGACTGAAATGGATAAATATATGTGGAGCAAATAGAACAATGCCCAGCACATTGTAAAACACCATCTAAATATTTGCATAATTTTAATTATGTTGGCCAATGGTCCTTACAGAGTTCTAATGAAGATTAAATGACATAACAAGAATGTAAGACTTATGCAAAAAATACCATCAAGTGATCATATTTTGCTAGGTTGTCCGGACACAGAGCCTTCCCCAGATCGGGATTTAGCAGGCGCTCACCTGAGAGGGAAAGTAACTGGGAGCGGAAAGTCAGCGGGGGAGGTAGCCCAGTCTGAAGCCTAACAGGGGTCTTTGCGGGCCTGGATGCCCGTGGTTTTCCGGCCCTATATGGCCTGGGTGCCCTTGGGCAAGTCACTCTCCTTTTTCCCCTCTGGCTTCCTGTTCCCTCATCTGTGAAATGGGGACGATGATGTTTGCGCAGCTTTTCTCGAAGGGCTGGTGGTGCTGAGGATCAAAATGGATTATGGATGTAAAAGTGTTTGTAAATGGTAGAGGATTATTAGCTCCCAGCTCTCTTTGTATTTATTATACCAAATAAACCACACTGGGGCCTTCTATCTTTCTTCCTCTCTTGAGGACAAATAGGTAGCCCAGGGTGCTCCAGAGATGAACCTAAGGGAGGTGGCTCCAAGAACAACAGGAGAGATTGAAATTAGATTTTAGGAAGGACTTCCTAACGTTAGCAGGGGGAAGGGAGAGAGACAGAGAACGGGAAAGTCCTCAGGCTCCCGGGCCAGGGAGAGGCCGCATGACCTGCGTGAGGCTGGTGGCTGAGTGAGTGGTTGAAGGGAGGGAAAGGGCAGAGGAAGGCTTTTGGCTCTAGGGGAAGAAGGCCTTGTAGCACAGCTGGGTTTTGAGAACAGAGAAAATGAAGAGCATCAGGGTAGGCCGATGGCTCCCCAGAGGTGAGCCCAGCATCCCAGAGCCTCTCAGGGTCCCCAACTTATGCCACCTGTGCCACCCCACTTTCTGGGGGCAGCTGTGAGCCAAGATGGAGGAAACCCCCTTTCCAGGCAGATGTTTGGGATTGTCTGGAAATTCAACACAAGTGCCGAACGCATTTTCCGACACAGTGTGGGCC